GAAGAGATTCAGAGGAACTTCGAGGAGTTTGCTTGGGGAGGAATTAGAGATAAGTGTTATTTACTTGTTGTAGTTTGCATGACTTTGCTTTTATATATAAATTCTAAGTTTTGTCGTATCTTCCCCATGAGTTCTGAGTAATTTTCTTTGTCTTTCTCCTTGTCTTAAGATTTATGAAATGGTGATTTGAATTGGTTGAGCCATGAAAATGTTAAAGAAGTTGTGATGATCTTTTTCATTTTGATTTTAATTTCTTTTCAATTTGGTCAATTGATTTGTTAAAATTTGTTGAGTTTTACAACTAAAGTAAAGATTACATCCAAGATTTAGGGAGGTCAAAACCCTTGGAAGTTGGGTGCAAATAAATAAGAAAATAAACAGAATCAATAACCAAGCATAGGATTAGTCAATGTTCTTTATGCCTGGACCAAAGGGTAAAAAATATGTATGCTCCTATTTAGTACAATCCAATTTGAACTGATTCATTTTATCAATTCACTATAATTTCTTGACAAGGAGAAGGATGTTTTCTTATATATTGAATTTCACATTAGAAACTTTATTAGTAGAATTAGCTATTTAAGAGTTATTAAAATTACATATTTATTTCAATTGCCTATTAGTGACAAATAAGAAACTTGAACGTCGTTGTAGTTGAAGTATTACTTTTTATTAAATCTTAGTCCGTAGTATTCTATTTCTCCCTGTGGGATCTATATCTAGGACTCCATTAGAGCCCTATATTACTTGAGCGATACGTATACTTGCGTTGACAAATTTGACTTTAACATTATTGAATATATATATATACATCTTTATCAAATCTATAATCGTTGTCAAGTTTTTGGTGCCATTGCTGAGGAATTAAATCTTCTAGCAGCAGTATTAAATACATGTATTTTTCAACATATATAAAGTCGCCGGTAAGATACTATGCAAGCATAAATATCGTTTCAAGTAATATATGATTTTCTTGTAAGACCCATTATCGATTCCACAGAGAAGCGAGGCAAGAAATCCCTTAGGCTAATTCTAGTATACTATTATCAGGCCTTAGTTTGAAATGTCTATTAAAGTGGATTTATAACAACTACTCCTAAATGAAAATATTAAATCTAATGATAATTTATCTAAATAAATTGGTTTAGAGAATTTTGAGAAGTTAAAGAGTACCCTTCTTGTGAAATTACCTAGATAATGTTAAGGAATGAAATGCTTATAATTTAATGCAGTTACTGACAAATCGAAGTATACTTATTCTTTACCTCCTCCCGGTGTTAGCAAAGAACATTGGCTAACTTAAGGTCAATTCCTTAACATCTCGATTCTGCATCAGAACTATCTAGCCTCTCACCTCTAGATGCCCCGAAGCTTACGCCACTATATTGACTGAATCCTAGTGTCAGGGTACTAAACCTTAAGCCAAATTGATAATAATCTAGCTTGTCACTCTAGAACTAACCAATTCTACGCCCATTAAAACCTATTTTCCTATTTATTTGCACTCCCCTTTAGGTGACCGCGATGGCTCTACCCAAAATGAAGTGTGGTATTCACTAGTTGGGTGAAATCATAGCCCTCCCGAGTCATTATGTTTTGCAACGGATTTTCACCTCATAAGTGATCAGTTTGCAATGCCAATTAAGAGCGGTGAAAATACCATCACATTAATACAATAAGAGAATACTTAAGCAAATGTAAGTTCCTAAACATGCATCTATTTTATTGTAAAAGTAAAGTAAAATAAAGATAATGACATAAGCAGTAAAAGGATTGGTAGAATTAAGTAATAAATTATGTGCTAACAAGGAATATATGTCGACCTACCCTCTTTCGAATGTGTAAGTAAGATTAGTAATCCTTTTGTTCTATGCAACTATCTATCACCTAGAAACATCTAATAGAAACTGATCATTAGATTATATTTCCTTAAGAGTTGCATTGCCGCCTAAACTATTTCACTAGCCAACGGTTAATGTGAGTGCACTCAAGTTGCAAGATCAACGATCTCCCGAGTCTTAGTTTCACATACAACATATTTTAACATAACTTATTGTCACTTAAGTTATATCAATGAAGCAAAATGAGTTATTACTCATCACATGAAAATAAAAATAATTCTGTCATAAAATAAATTTTCCTACACATGCCTCTACTTCATATTGAAAGAAAAGAGTAACGAAAACTACTTACCAAACATGTATAAAACACAATAGAAAACTTTTTTTACTTCAAAGAAAATCCACTATAAAATGTTTACAACACTTACAAGGAAATGAAGAATACAATACTTAGTTTTTTCTCTCTGAAAGAAGAAGAAAAATCTCTCGAACAAAGTCTCATGCAGTCATGCCGATCCATGCGCCGCTCATACTTCCTTGCTCATATCTCTCAAAATCTCTCACCAATCACTTCAGAAAATAAAGAAATCTACATCTCCATAAACTCAAGCCAAACTCCTCCTAAAACACTTCCTAATTATTTTTCTAAACTCCCTTAATTACCTCCAATGAGAGGCGCCAAGCCCCCCTATTTAAAGAGGAGTTAAACACCTCCTTTTTCCAAAAGACACACCCCTTCATCCAAGCACACACCATTTCACTCCAAGAGACACTTCTCTTCATAAAAAAAAATCTATTCGAAGTATCTAGATTCATTGAATCACTCCATGGGGCGTGCAAGTTGTCCAAAAGCTTCCAGACCATCCCAAAATGGCCCAAAAAACCGTCCAATAACTGTCCCGGGCTCTATAGTGCCAATTTGGGCGCCTATGCCTGGTGCTATGACACCATTCTGGGCGCTATAGCGCCACCCTACTCGCATCTCCACCGTTTCGCCCTGTTTTATCTCCGTTCTGTTTCAGCTCTTTTGCGCTCCAGATTGGTACACCTAAAAAATATACATGAAAATAACCTTTCTTTATAATGTAATTTCATTCAAAAACATTGAATAAATATGAATGAGATTAAGTATGAAAAGTCATATCGAAATGCTCCAGATCAGAATTTTCTTCTTTGCTTACTTTGACTCCAAATTGCATTGTTCTTACTTCATTTTCACCAAAAGTCCATTTCTTGTACCTGAAGACAAAAATATGCAAAATATATTCTTTTAAAGTATAATAGTATTAAAAATGTGCATAAAATGAACATGAAACATAAACTAAAAATAGATAATTTATAAGTGGATCAATAGCTCTCCTTGGATAAGATGCCTTCTTAGTAGCTGACAGTCCCTCGGATTAGGTGCTACTACTCAAAATACTACTCATTATATTTAATTAATTGATTATAAATAGTCTTGTAGTTATATATATATTTTTAAAATATATATTATTAGTTAATTCATGAGTAGTATTTTTAAAAATATATATATAACTACAAGACTATTTATAATCAATTAATTAAAAAAAATAAAAAAAATATTAAATTATCTTTAAATAATTTAAAATTTAAATTTAAAATTAAATTTTATCCTAACCTTTCTATTGCTTACGAACTGCCCTTGTTGGATTTGCTATACATTTTTGTATTTGAGTATTTCTTAACGAGCCGGCTTGTTCACACCTATACCGGAAGGTGCTCGACTATCGTCGCTAGCTTTTCCAACCACACCTCTTACCGGTAGTCGCCGGTTTCACCATTCCACGCAACCAGTTGTTTTCCTGCGATCCTTTACGCTCCCTCTCGATGTCTCCTCCCCGAATCCCGCCGCCTTTTCCAACACTTCAACAAATCTCGTAAAGGATTTTGGGATTATTTTTCTGCTGGTAGTAGGAGCGCTCCGATTAGGGTACAAGATGTGATTATTTTCCAAGAGCTTGCTGCCGCGCTCTAGTCCTGAAGTGATGGCTCAGGTACTTCGTCTATGGATGCTATTGGCAGCGCTGTTCTTGGGTGTTTGGTTTGATCGATCAACGGCAGTACTTTCAAGGAACTGCGCTACTGATAGCGTTGTGTATTTAAGATCGAGGGATGGTTTTCTGGTTTTTGTGAACGGGGAACGAATCGATGATCAAATTTTAGTGTGCGAGGCCCTGGCGTTTTATATTGCGAATGCATGTCTGAATATTGATTATCAATCCGAAGATTGGGGACAGATTGGCAAGCAGTATTGCGGTCGAGAGTTTAATTATGCTGCCGACTTTCATCGTGATGCTATTTCTGGTAATTTCTCTTATATCCAGGCAACTTTGTTGCGCATCTGCTGATCTATTTTACCCGTTTTGAGCAAAGCAAATTTTTGTATTCAGAAATAATAAAAAGTCGGATTTTCTTATCGTCGGATTTTTCTCGTTTACAGAAAATTGTTTGGTTAGAGGACAGAGTAAAAGTAATTGTTTTGATTAAAATAATTATTCGGTCACTTGCTGTTTTCCTTAATAAATAATGCATGGTTTTAATTGAGCTGATTTAAAAGTTAGGAAACAGAGTTTAATGACGGAGCTAGTATTCTGAGTTTAATTACATGATTTGATTGTTGATAAGAACGGTTTCTCCAATCATAATCTTGTAAATATAGATTTTCATAATAATGCTATTTGATTTGAAGAAGTTTAAAGAAAAAATGTATTTTGCTATATTTTTCAGACGCTTTGACAGTTTGAGATATCGAATATGGTGCGTGGTTTCTCAGTTAACCTAGATTAGATGTCAGATAAGCTCCCAAGTCTCAAGAGAACTTCCGTGTCTTGCTGTTAATTTTGGAGTCACTGTTTGCGGTGCGCTTTTCCCTTTCTGACTACATTCTTGATATATCTAATTGCAGTGGAAGCACTTCATATGGTAGGAAGAAAGCTTTTACTACAGCCTCAGGTTGATTCCTCTAACATGGATAGTGTAGGAAGAAAGGAGCTGTCACAGGAGACCGTCAAAACTCATTGGATAAAATTTTCAACCAAGGGCAAGGCTCTAGCTGTACCAGGAATGTTCCTTCTATGTTGTGTGGTAATTTGCCCTTGCTTTCGTGCAAAGAAGAAAGAACCACTTGAACAAAAAGCTCTGGACAAAGAACCAAATCCATGTGAGTTACTTGGGTAACTCGTAGAGTATATGTGGACTTCTAGATATTGCATGATCTTTATTTCTGTGTATTTTCTTATCTCAAACAACACACACTAAAAATTAATGAAGAATATGGATATATAAAATTTGCCCCAATTCTTTGGGATAAATGGTGATGGTGATAATGAAGAACTTTTCACCTATAAAGTGGTGCATTGCAGAATAAAGTTTGCTTCATATCTATTTATCGTCTGATTACTTTTGTATTTTCTCATTGATACATGTCTTATAGTTTAGTTTTAATGATGTGCATTGTTTGAAAGCATTACTTGACTGTTATTTCAATTATGCATTTACACATTCTTAGTATCTCAACGGATAGCGTTGGCTGTATGATAATGCTAATGGAGTGATACAGAAACTAGTAGGAAAAACAATAGACAACAAAACACAAACTTTCATTAATATTAAAGTAGGTTATAACATGACTCGAATGGAAATAACAACACAAAACATAAAATGACACCAACAAACACTTCTAATCTATCCCAATGGGTGGTGGAGGTCAGCTAGAGGGATCAAGATGATTGGGAGAGATGACGGCAGTCATGAAGGCGGGTGGGAGCGAAGGGAAGATGCGGAACTGTAGGGACAACAAGTAGGAAATGGTTGTAGGTGGTCGACAACGATAGTGGGGTGGTTGGGAGGAGCTTGAAAGGAGTTAGGTAGACGGGACAACAATAATAATTTGTAGGAAGGGGAAATAGTTGAGTGTCGAGGTGATGGAGGGAAAGTTTGGCTGCTAGGAGTGGAGAGGAGAGGGTTTGAGGAAAGTAGAAAGGGAGGTTACAATCACTACATCAGAGAGGATACACTCGGAGCACTATCACTATTTCGGATACAACCCACAATGGGGAAAGGAACTCCACACAGGAGATCAAAAGAAAAATCCACTAGAACTGCTTTTCCACTTACCGGGGAGAACAATTTATATGCCTCCTAGGGGGAGGAAGCTTCTAAACAAAGGAAGAAGTGGGAAGCCAAGAATATTCTAGAAAACCCAAAATTACACTTTAGGTGCCCATCTGGATCGCGCAGGCTCGCGATCCCCCCCATGCTCGCTGTTCTCGCGAAGGTTTGTGGGCCTTCTGTCCCGCGGAAATGAAGCGCCTGCAATAGAGCACTGCCCTAGCGCCTGCGTTGGTCTCCTAGGGTTGGGGAGCTTCAACTTCATAGGTTGAAGCTTCCATTTCATCGTCAGCCACCCTGGATCCCACTGGCGGTTGTATTATCGCTCGAGGTATTTGATGGTCTTCTCTAGCTGGTGAGAAAATGTCCATATCGATTTGTTCTCTTGAGGTTGTGGACCATGCTTACACTGCTTAATCTTTTCAAAGTAACCCACGATCGGCTCAAACAGGCGTGCAATGAGAATAATCTGATCCTTCTCTTACGGTGGTGGTGCTGTTGGTATGGTGTCGATGTGATATAACCTCAATTGTATCTGTCCTATATCCGGGTCTGGTATTTTAGTCCTCTCATCTGGTATTATTACTAAAACTAGTCCTATGGACACTGCTCTGTTGATAAGGGATCCTGTGACCTCTGGCTTTGTCGAAGGAAAAAGGGTGATGTGCTTCCTGTCCGTGGTGAAAGAATACATGTTTCTATATTCGTTGTGTTTAGTTCTCCGGTTGAATTGCCACGGTTGTAACAAAAGATAGTAGGCATCGATGGGAACTACGTCACATCATACTTGGTCCTATAGTTGGCCTCCGATCGAAAATTTTACCAAGCATCTTTGGTCGATGCTGACCCATTTCTCTTTCATCAGTTACATTACTGAATATGACTGAGAATGCCTTTGAGCCGCAATTCCCTTTTTTTCTGTCATCTGTGTCGATGTCATGCTCTTGCTGATTTCGCCGCTGATGATTAGACTGCATAATTTTCCGTTCACTGTGCAACGAGTGTAGAATATGCTGTGATGAAGCCACTGCGGATCCCTCGTGTTCTTGGTTTGTAGGATCCATCAAATTACGGGTGCTTCTCCTTGCTTGGTGGGAGCTGATACACCTCGCCCTGTTCTTTAGCTTTCTCGTCGTCGCTTATTTCATGTACGATACCTTGATCTGTGAGTATGACTACCCTGATTGTGGGGTAGCTGGATGCAATGTGGCCGTAGCCGTGGCACGATAACACTTCTTGGCAGGCACTGTGTTGGAGTTGTCCTTTTCCTGTTTCTTCTTGCTTTGATCCGTAGTGCCATTCCCTTGTCCAGACTTGCCCGTATCTCTTGGGATATCCTCGTCAGTTGTGGCAATTGTAAGCGACAGCCTGCCTGAAGGTTGTTGTTTGAAAGATGATTGCTGCAGGCTCTGCTTCTGTTGTCTTTCCATCTTCAAGGCTAATGTCTGAACATCCCTCAGTGTTCAGTATGACTGCAACTGTACCACACTACTGACCCCCTAGATATTTGACATCGTATGTTCCTCTGGCTCCGTCAGTTTGCATTTCAGCTGCTAGTGGTCGAATTGGTTTGTAAACTCTTCAACTGCAACTTCCTTCTGCTGTAAGTTGTGAAGTTTTAGAAACATACCCTGGAGATAGTGGGGTGTGAGGTACTTTTTTTTGCATTGACTGTGATCTTCCCTGTAGAGCAAATTCATCTCCTCGTCACTGTCTTCCCCTCGACTTTCTCGATCATGGTCGAAGGTAATCTCTTTATGGTTTCCGTCATCCAGCTTTGCTAGTCTTCATTGCATATGACAGATTTCTTGTTGAATCTCTTGTTGGGTCGAGTCCGGTGTACTTCTTCATGGCGGCGTGGCATGGCTAGGGTTGGGAATCGACAAGAGAAAAATTGGTGGAGGTGGCTCGGGTAGCGGAGAATGCTAGGAGACCTTAGGATGGGACCAGGTTTAAGCTAGCTCTGATACCAAATTATACGAGAACTAGTAAGAAAAATAGAGAAAAACGTAAACACAAACTTTTATTAATATTAAAGTAGGGTTACAACATGACTCAAACGTAAATAACAACACAAAACGTAAAATGACACTAGCAAGCACTCCTAATGTATCCCAATGGGTTGTGGAGGTCGACTAGAGGGTCGAGATGATTGGGAGAGATGACAACAGTCATGAAAGGTGTGGTAGTGAAGGGAAGGTGCGAAATTGTAGGGACAACAAGTAGGAAAGGGTTGAAGGTGGTTGGTAGTGATAGTGGGCTGGTTGGGAGGAGCTTGAAAGAAGTTACGTAGACGGGAAAACAGTAATAATCTGTAGGAAGGGGGAATAGCTGGGTGTCAAAGTGACGGAGGTAGAGTTTAACGACTAAGGAGTGGAGAGGAGAGGGTTTGGGGAAATTAGAAAGGGAGGATAAACTCACCACCTTAGAGAGGATACAGCCGGAGCACCATCACCTCCTCGGATACAACCCACATAGGGGAAAGAGACTCCACACAGGAGATCAGAAGACAACTCTATTAGAACTACTTTTTTACTTACAGGGGACAACAATTTGTAGGCTCCTCCTAGGCGGAGGAAGCTTCTACACAAAGAAAAGAAGTGCGTAGCCAAGAAAATTCCAAAAAACCCAAAATTTCACTGTAGGCGACCATCAGGATCGCGCAGGTTTGTAAAAGCGATAGGTAAAATTATTGGTGTTGGTTATAATGTGGCTGAATTTTGATGCTACACTTGTTTTATGGTGTGTCTTTTGTTTTTCATTTGGGACTTTCTTAACAAAGTATTTGGCTTATGACAGCTGATTTGGTTTCTCCTATGGAAGGATCTGATTCAGAAAAAAATAATCTGGCTAGTACACAAAAAGTAGCTCCCAGCCCACGTTTTTCATCATCTCCACAACAAAGTAGAATTGGGTCGTTACAGCTAACAATCAATCAGATCATCAAGGCCACCCAAAACTTTTCACCTTCGTTGAAGTTAGGTGAAGGAGGATTTGGAATTGTGTATAAGGGCATTCTACAGGATGGCCATGTTGTTGCTATAAAACGAGCAAAGAAGGTAATAGCCTTTTGCATTGCTAAAATTAGTTATTATTGCCTCAATCCCTATTTCTGTATGGTATCCACTTTTTTGTAGTCAACTTTGTTAGATGTTCTTCTTATATGACAAAAGGTTGGCTTTTTGTTTGACTCTTATATAACATAATATTATAAAAGAAAAGTCCTTCGAAGTGAAAGAGTGCTTGCGGGGAAATTTATTGTCCAATAATACTGTTCAACCACAATGTGTTGATATCTGCCCCATTACTTACGAAAATTATCCAATTTGGGTGGAAATTGTTAATTTTCTATCATCTTTAGTTATCTTATACTATGGTTTCATGGCTTTCAGTATATACTGAAGCCATTTTATGCCAAGTCCTTTTCATAATGTTTGCAATCTGTGGGCATCATGCAGAGAAATAAATTTAATTCGTGGCCCTTTACCTTAAATTCACTTGGTTTCAATTTGAAAGATTAGACTTCATACATGCTTCAGCCATTGGTTGAGTTGGACTTATGCTTAGTAACTTGTTGGAATTTTGCTTAATAACTGGTTCAATGTCCAATTTTGTCCAGGGTTAGTAGTCATATTCTGTCTAGATTTAATAATTGAGATAATATGCTGAAATGTTTACAAGGTATGCTTGGCAAAATATTCGTTTAAAATTTATTTAAAATTTGTTATTTTTTTAACCCTGGTGTTTCTATCTTTTGAAATTTGTGTTATTTCTCGTGTATATGGTTTCAAAAAACATGCTGTATTGATCAAGAGATTATTGGACTAGTCGAGAAGTCACTTGAAGAACCATCCATAGGATTGCGAAGATTACATAAGGGAATTTTTAGGGTTCCATAATGTTACCCAGTGGAAGCTTGAGAGGACTAATATGCTTCCAAGAGAGATCTATCACTGTCAAGAAGAATTGGTGAGGCTGGGTGAAATTTCGATGAGATCTTAGAATGATTCTAACTTAAGAGCCATGTAACTATGACTAAGAAGATTGTTTTCAAGTAGCTACAATGCCAACCTCGCTCCAGTTAAACATGAAGTCGTGCTCTTAATTAATTATTGTCTTGTTACAAATTTAGCGTCTTATCCAAGTTGCTATTGCCTTTGTTTGTATCAATTATTGATTGTCTATATAAAGGGAGTTGTAAATTAGAGAGGGATAGCCCTAGACTGGGCAGAAATCCTCCTTTAATTGAGATTAAGAAATATTGAGTTTTGTGTTAGAGCGGGAGGGTATTCAAAGAAAAATTTTCCTCTAGATTTTCTTGAATGTATTCCTTTAATATAATATTTATTTGCTGTTCGCAGAACAAGAATCTAGATTACCTTTTCTTCTCACCTGCCAACATGTTGGTCGGGTGTCTTTTAATTCCTTGCAGGCAGTTTGGATCAGGTTTGGTATTTGAGTTATGTATTTGGAGGATGGTTGGTGCCTGATTTTGATGAAAGCTTGCTACAAGAAAATTGGTGAACTACTTTTTGCTCAAGATCTCTTAAGCAAAAGATATGGGAAAGCTATGATCTCAGCATTACAAGGTGAAGGCTTCAACGACTTGGCTACTTAACCTATTCTCCTTCAACAATGAATGCCCATGTTGGAGGAGGCTATGAGCAAGTAAATGTGGACATTGCATGAAGAATCAGTCTACAAGGAAAATCCTTCTTAGAGTAAATTTTCTTCATTGTGATCGTTGGAGGTAAGATAATTTTTTGCCAAGAAAGAAGATTTTTGAATAAGATAGAGATGGCACCAGCCTTTTAAGGTAGGAGTTAAAACAAACGATATCTTGAGTTCTTAACGGCTCTTTTAATATTGTGAAGCTTTTAGTCTCGATGAGTGGATCAACTAGAAATCTATTTTAGTCTCGATGGGTATTTTTTAAAGAAAAGTTTTTATTTGCTCACCTAAAACTAACTAGGCATGTGCTAATGTGGTGAAGTGCTCATCTCAAGCATGGGCATTAGACTGTTATCTAGCACAACATCCTCCAATACTTCTACCCTATGTGTTATGAGAAAAAAGATGTAGGAATTTGCTTGATTTGCAAAAATGAAAAAAAATCAAACAATGCAATAATGTATGATAGAATTTAGGAGACGAGTCTTGATGGTTTTCTATTGGAAAACATCTTAATTCTGATGAAGTATGCCAATTGACTTTATTATAGCATCTCCAGTAATTTTTTTCTCTTTCCTATTGAAGACCTCAAGTCAAACAAACACTTTTACGATGACCATTGAATGAAAGGACAAAACTTAAGTTAACAAGTTTTTTAGTGACCAAAAGGGAGGGAGAGGTTGTAGAGATGAAAAAATTGGAATTTAAAGATTTTAATAATATTAATCGTACAAAATCCTCTTCTCTTAAAAATAAATTTTTTATGGTCATTATCAAATTTTGGTACAGAGAGTGAACTGATAGAATCTTCATCTATGATCCTTTTTAGAGAATTTTAAGAGGAATTGTAAGAGATAGAGTATGACACATTAAATTTAATGAATCAACCATATTTGAGAGGAGCAATTTTCCTTTTGAATCTAGGGCGAGCAAGAAGTGATTAACATCATCTTGATATAGACTATCAAAAGAGCTTAATCTCAATGAGCCAAATTGATAGTATTCAAGGGTTCTTAGAAGTTGTTTGCATATCAAATTTAGCGAGGAGGTGGTTGTGGAATAGTAAGGGAGGGAGAATATGCGAGGTCGATAGAGTTTGGAAGGAGAGAAAGAACTTTCAGCTGTTTTCTAGGCTGAAAATAACAAAGAGAACCATGAAATTACGACCTTGACGAGGCGTGATTGCCAAGGGACATTCACCGCCTATTCTTGAATAAGCTATAAACACATCACTTGCAAAAGAAAGAGAATATAATATTCCTTAGGGTGAAAAGTTGAAAGAGCACAATCTCCAAATATATGAATAGATAAAAAATCCCCAAAAATAGGAAATACAACATATGAATAGTTTCAAGAAAAAATTAGCCATAATTCAATTCAAAATAGGCATAAAAAATGTGCCCATAAGAACTTGTTCTGTTAAGTATATGTAAAATTCACGTTATTGACTCCCTTGGTCGGAGTTCACTCCTTCCGTCTCGTTCTTGATCTCGCATACACAGGATTGTGTGGGTAGCTCCTGCATCACTCTCCTTTGGTAGGACAGGCTTCACCTTTCTCTTGTGCGACATCTAAATTCTCATACGACCAACAACTTTAAATTTAACAGTACTGTAGTCTTGATAAATTAATCTTGTAAACATTATTATTTATCTTCTTCGCAATTTTGAATGGATCATCGTTCGAGGCTTGACTTTTCCAAAGAACTTCAAGAAACCTCTCATTCATTAATCTAATTCATATAAACATTTTTTGTAAATATTTTTGTTTTCATAAATTTATTTGTATGCTTCTGATATTTAGCATTTTGCTCAACATTTTTGGTCATCAGTAAGGTCTTAATTTCTCCAAATCTTACTTTATATCCTTGTTAAGTTAGGTAGCTAGAAATATTAGCATTAACTCCATTGGAGTGAGAGGGTTTTGCCCACGTTTAATCTCAAAGGATTGTGACTTGTGGACTGACCAGTAGAACGGTTATAGGCAAACTTTACCCAAGGAAGCACCAAATCTCATTATTTGATATTCTTTTTCACAAAACGCCAAAGGAAAATTTTCAACCTATGATTTATTACCTACATTTGTCCATCTGTTTAAGAGTGTGCTACTTACTTGAACTGCAGCTTTGTACCAAGCTTACTCCAAAAGGTCTTGTAGAAATGACTCATAAATTTCACATCTCTATATGAAATGATGATTCTAGGCATGCATTGAAGATCTACTCTCTCCCTAAAGTATACTTTTGCAATTTGCGACGTGTCTATTGTATTATGTAAAGGAATAAAGTCAGGGAGAAGCCAACCACTGCCATAATAAACTCTTTATTTCACTGTATTCATGGAAAGGTCACCATAAAATTCATGCTCGCATCTAACCAAAGTGTTTGTGGAATGGATAGGGAAGTTTATAGGCCTATGTTCTCCCCACGAGTTTTAGTCAAATGACATGTTATATAATGTCTGAGTTGTCACTTCAAATCTCGTATCGATCTAAGCCAATAGAAAATTTTTCATTAAGGAAAGAGTCTTTTCTCTACCAAAATATTTTGTCATCCCCCATTATGACACTCCTATAAAATACTCTCATTGAGTGAATTTTGAGGAATGCATAATTTATTCTGAAAGCATAGATATCAATCGGATCTATGATATTGCTCATACGGTTTATCTTGCTAACGGGTCCAAAAATCCTAAAAATTCACGTCAATGACACACAAATATTTCATTAATTCAAAACTAACTAACTTAGGTTGCACAGTAGTGATTAATAAGTGGCAACTACTTAGTGCATATGCTATTTTATTCTTATTCCCTGTCTTATGCTTAAGCTTAAAATAGAACAAAGAGAAATTCGAACCATAATGTGTGTCTGATCTTTAGCTTACTTTAACTATTCATTAATCTCGAAGTGCTGTGGTCAACGTAAAAAGTAATTCGTTCGCCACTACATAATGGGTTTAGTGACTGAGGGCTTCACAATGACATAAAATTCATTGTCATAGGTAGAATACTTCTAGAATCATTCAATTTTTTACTTAAGAAAGCAATATGATGTTATCTTTAACGTAGCACAACTTCAATTCCCATATTGAATGCATCACACTTCATCTCGAACATTTGGCTAAAACATGGAACTGTTAGAATAAGTGCTTGAGTTATCTAGTTTTTCAAATCATCAAAATTAGTCAGCGCCTCATCTAACTAAGCAAATGTATTTGACTTGAGAAATTCCATCAAGGGTGTCGTGATTGAGCTACAATTTTTGTTAAATCTCCAATGAATTGATGTCAATTCATGAAATTTACATACATGCGTAGTCAGAACATAATTGCCTCGATTTTTTGCTTGGTTCATCTCGATACCAATTACTAAAACTATGTACCCTAGGA